ACAATTAACTATTGTTTGTAAATTCTTATAAATATACAGTCTTTCTTCGTCTCAAAAATTTTTTCCAATACAAAAAACCAAAACAAAAATAAAACAAATATCTCTTGAAGAGTAAAAAAATAAAAAATAAAAAATAAAAATCAACTTTTTAAATTTAAAAAACAAAATTTTACGAATCTACAAAAATGAAATCAACTCAAGCTATCGCTCAAACTATTGTCAGCTCAGCCACCATTTCAAAAGGTGCCACTGAAAAACCTGAAAATGCTACAAACCATTGCTCTCTAATGTAAAGAAAATATTGAAGCAATTCAAAAAAAAAAACAAAGAAACGAAAAATTCAAAATTTTTCTTAATTTATTATTATTAATGTGTAATTTTTAATTTTTAATAATGTATTATTTTTATATTTCTATTTCAAAATTTTATAATTTTTAATAAAATAATAAAATAAATTAATTAACGCATATTATTATGCCAATTCAATATAAATTCAATATAAATTCATATATCACAAATTATCTCCGCTTATAACTGTTTATAAATATGCAATGCACAAATTTGAAATACACATTCTTGAGCATATACCTAGTTTGATTCGAAGAAATATAATGAGTCATATATACAGTCATACATACCTCTTTATATCCCCGGAATTTTTGTGGGATATAGCTCAAGAGTAATTTCATTTATTTTTAATATTATTATTTAACAACAAGGATTGGATTTTGTTTTTTTATCTACAGAACTATTTAAGTGATTTATTAGACATATTTAACATCTTTTTCTGTAGCTAATTCTTGTTGTTACAGGAATTTTTTTACAGTTTCAAATGCTTTCCTTCCTTATTCTATAGAAACAACTCGTTCTTTTCGCTCATGTGCATTTCCAGTTCCATTTCAACATGTTCAGGTTGCCGGACACCTTCTGAAATAAGAATATGATATTGATAATGTTACTTTTTACTTTATATCCTATTTCACCAAATAAAAGGTAGAATGAGGACTTGAGCAGATATAGGAAGGTTATTAGTAGTGCTACTAGCCGACTAGTCGTAGCCGCGACTAGAAATTTTTCAAGTCGACTGAGTCGCGACCGGGTTTCAGCCGTAAATCATTATAACCTTAATATGACTGTAGTCGTGATATTTTCAAAAATGTCAATAATTAACAGAGTTTTTTATTACAAAAT